ACACACACACACACACACACACACAAACAGTATATGTATTCCTAATAAATGATCATCAAAGACAAAAGAATAAGTGAGAAGAAAATGGCAAAGAAAAAAAAATACAAACTGTGGCAATATTTCATCGCACCACGATTATTATGCAAATGAAGTTTTTCATCACACACACACACACACACACACATTGCACTTTTAGGATTCATTTTCACTGATTTTCAACTCTACTCTATAGAGATAATTTTAGACAAAATAATGTTGTTCTGAATAATAATAATACAAAAAAATTGTTGCAAACGATTTAATATGGACAATGAAACTAGATCAATTTTTTTCCCCGATTCTGATTCTATAAGCTTGTTGTGTGCGTTTGTGTGTGTGTGTGTGTTTTTTTCCAATATACAGAATACAGAATCTCAGCATTAGCTTCGGGTAAAATGGTCGAGTATTATTTCATTTTTTTTGTGTCGTCGTCTTAAGTTTTTTTTTTGATATTGGATATTGAGTTTCAAAATATATCAAGAAAAAAAATAGGATGACACTTGAAATGGCCAAAATTCTTCTATGGAAAAGCACGTTTCATAAATTATCCACATTTTGTGTGTGTGTGTGTCTATGTGTTTATGTGTTTATTATATGTGCATGGAAAAAAAATTCGAAACAAAAATCTAGAGAATGCCATTGGGGTTCTGATTGTTTTTTTTGTTTTCAAGAAAAAAAACCACCAATCGTAATTTATCGAAACAATCATCATTTTTTTTCTTGCTGACTATGTTTGACAATATTTTTTTTTTTTTTTGTTTTCTTCCTAATTGGATCGATATGAAAAAGAAAATATCAAAATTATAAACCCGGTGAATCCAGTAACAAGTACAATTATGGAACCAAATGGAATGACAATGGTTCATTCGTTTTGTTTTGTTTGATAATTATTTCAAGTGCATATTCTTCGTGCTGTTGTTGTTGTTGTTGTTGTTTTTCATTCAAAAATTTTTCTCTCTTCATTCAAATTGGATACATTGTATTCAAGTATCATTTCATTTTGTTTGTTTCTGTGTTTTGTTTTTTTTTTTTTTTTTTTGTTATTCTTGAAATTATGGCACCATATCATACAGAATCATTAAGAAAATTTTTTTATTTTTTATTTTTTTTCTTGTTACACCAGTTCCACACGAATGATAATGGCCATATAGATTTTTCTTCATTTGTTCATTAATTTATTTTTATTTTTATCTTTGCGCTTCATTCAATTTCATCATCATCATCATCGTCGTCGTTTTTGTTTCTTCTTCTTCTTCAAAAAAAAAAAATCTGATTCTAATGATGATCACTAGCCAAGAATTCCCTTGATTCGAATGAGAAATTTTTTTTTCCATTTCTATATTGCTAATAGATGTAATGGCAAAAACAACAAAAAAAATTTCAAATCTCAATTTCCATTATCACACAAACGCACACACACACACACATGCAGTTATATTTCACTGCTACAAAAATGAAATGAAATGAAATTGAAAATTAAATTCAATTTTTTTTCTCTTACAATGCGACAGAAGAAATTTGTTCCATTCGAATTCTTTTTTACAAACTGTACAAAATCATTATGATCATTGAAATTTTCTGACAAAAATTTTCCCACCTTTGCCACAATCAATCAACAAATGTTTTGTCATTTCAATTTGAAAATTCTGTTTTGTTTTTGATATTTGAAAGAATTTGGAAAAAAAACAAAACAACACGGCTAATTGAATGTTTGTTTGTTTTTTTTTTATTAGTTTCATTCTGTGTTTAAAATGGGCTCAATGAGTTGAATTTTCACTCAAATGAATTGAGGTTTTTTCTCCATCACTTTTGTTGTTGTTGTCTTTTTTGGATTCATAGAACCAGATTGAAACAAACGCCAAGAAAAAAATTTGATGAAATCAACAACAACAACAGCAACCAATGGCGACGACATCACCACAATATGAAAGATATTGGCGTAAAGTAGTGATTTAGAAGAAAAAAAAGCGGCACACAAATTAAACTTTTTTTTTATTATTATTATTCCAGTGATCCAGATTCTTTCGTTTTTGTTTGTTTGTTCATTTTATTATTAGAATTGAGAATCCAACAGTGGAAAAACAACAACAACAACAGATAATAATGTATATTTTTTTGAGAGAGAGAGAGAAAGAAAGAGAGGCTTGAGATGTAATATAATAAATAGATTTTCTCTTTCTTTCAACAGCTATGTTGGAAAAAAAAGAAGATGGAAAAAAAATGAAAAAAAACGGATTTTTATTGTTTTTTTTCCACTATTCATACATTCTGTATCTAGAAAATTCCCATAGAAGAATTATGATAACCAAATGAAAATTGTTTCTTTATTCAATTCAAGTGTGTCTGGATTTTGTGTTTGAAACCATATATATTCATGGTGAATCATATGAGAATTATTTCCAATTCATTCAATTTGGTATTTGGTCTGAAATTTTTTTTTTTTTTTTTTGTTTTGTTTTTCCATTTTCATTTTTCTTTCAATTATGTTTTATTATTCGGTGACATAATATTGTTATCAATTTTTCGTTTCGTTTCTTTGTTTTTATTTTGGTTATGTGTGTGTTTTTGTTGTTGTTGTTGTTGTTGTTGTTCATAACCATGATTATATTGATGATATTGTATTGTTTTTCATTGTCATATCACTTGATGTGGACAAATAAATGCATGCTAGTAACTTGATAATGTGTCTGATCATCATCATCATCATCATAATCATGGTGGATACACACACACACACACACACACACTGTCAAACAAAATAATCACTAAATGGAAAGGATGTTATGTTATGTTGTGTTGTTGGTGGACCATCCATAGTGATGATAAAAAAAAATTGTTTTGTTCCATCCTTTTCTTACAATTTTTTTCTTCACTTTTCCATCATTGATCATTTGTTGGCCAAAGAAAAAAAAAGCTCCGTAGATTTTATATAACAAAACAAAAAAAACGAAACAGGATGAAAAAAAAAATAAAAATTCACAAGAAAATCCAAGGACAAAACAAAACAAAACAAAATTGAATTTTTTTTTTTTTTTATTTTCTTCGCAAATCATTTCTCATTTTTGCAACATCATCGACGACAACGAATGATTATTATTATTATCATTATTATTATAACGGAAAATAACCAAAAACCAGAAAAACCAAAAAAAAATTCTGTTATGTTGTTTTCGATTCTGGATTCTTTTCCTGTTTTTTTTTCTATGCTTTCCAGAATAGCGAAAATCGCCGAAAAATCACTCACTCTACAACAGTGAGGGCTTAACCAGAAAAAATGTATTCATCATTTTTGTGAATTTTTTTTCTTCTTCTTCTTTTTGGTGATCACCATCACCAACATCATCGCACACATATTCAATAAATTCCTACATTGGATTCAATCTTTTTTTTTTTTTTTTTTTTTTTTTTTTTCTCGGAATCGGAGAGAGAGAAATGAAAAACAAAATTGAAACGTCAAAATTTTTTTTTTTCATTCGTCATTGTTGTCCCCGATTTTTTTTTGTTTATTGTTGTAGTTGTTGTTGTTGTTTGAAAAATGAGAAAAAAAAAAAATTGCATGAAACAAACAAACAAACAAACAAACAAACCAACATGAAAATCATTTTTTAATGTCTTATTTGGTGATATTTTTTTTGGTTTTTTTTTGTTCAAGAATTTGATAACACACACAAGAAGAAGAGGAGAAAAAATCAATTTTTTCACAATAAATGTAGAATTCGCTATTGTTGTTGTCGCTGTTGTTGTTGTTGTTGTTTTTGTTTGTTTGATTATGATTTTTCCATTGTATTCATCATTGTCATATCAGTGTTTATGATAGCCATTGGCCATGTAAATGAATATTCTAATTGTAAATAATTCAATATACAATTATATTCTATAAGCATCAAAAAAAAAAGAATCAAGTGATCGATTTGAATCATCATTTTTTAAAAAGAAAAATGATATTAAAATATTTGATAAAATGTTGCAACATCTGCAAATAAATGTGTATGTGTGTGTGTGTGACAGCAATCAATATATTCTCGCTGTTTTTTTTTTATTCCATCATTGCAATCACAATTGTCTCAGGATTTTTTTTTCATATCTGTCATCGACAATCATATGAAAGAATTGAATTAAACATACATTCCATTACGATTGCCCGCTAGGTGTAAACAAAAAATAAAATAAATTCATTCATCCATTCATTTCATTGAAATAAGTGAAGAATTTTTTTTTGTTTCATTGAAAGTATGTGAAGACGACCATAATCATCATCATCATCATCATTATTATTATCACGATGAATGAATTTGATTAAATCGTAATAATGAATAATTTTTCTCGACCAAATTATGGTTCTGGTGGTGATGGTGACGATCATTTCAATGATTTTCTTCCTTTTTTTCGATTCAATTGTTTCAAAAAAGTATAAAGATTCGTAAATACAAACGAACTGTATGGATGCATTTTTTTTTTACTACTACTACTACTACTACTGTTTTACTCTAATTGAATAAGATCTTATCGTTTTTTTGTCTGAGCATACTGGGTTTTTCTTTTTTTTTTTTTTTTTTTTGGTAATTATTTTCACATGGTTGAACATCGTGTGTGTGTGTGTGTGTGTATGCGACGAGTATGTTAGTTCAAAAAGTTCAACAACAACAAGATTCTCATCATCATTCTGTCTGTCTTTCTATAATTAAAATATCGTGATAAAGAATACTAATCATTTGTATTGGAGAATAATTTTTTTGGGTCAAAATCTGAATCAAAGCGGAAAAAATTCCCAATTCATAAATATCCAAAAAAAGAGATTCAAACAAAAACAATTGATCAATGGATTATTATCGATTCTTATCACCATTATTACTTTTTTTGAATGATGAAAATTTTCAATTTCATTTCATTTTTTTTTTCTCTTGTTCAGAAAAAAAATCAAATTAAAATCAAACAAAGAAAGAAAGAAAATATCAACCTACCTTGTAATGGTTATTGTTATTATTATTATTATAAAAACTATGATGTCGTTTTGATGATCGTAATCTATTAGTAGTATCGCCCAAGTTATTATTATTATTATTACTGCTGCTACTACTACCACTGCTACTGGTCCAGAATGCACTTGTTAATCCAGAATTTATTTGATTATTCATTATTAATATTATGATTAATAAAATCATCATTAATTTGTGACGAAATGATAATAATCGAATGTTGTTGACATCCATGGTTGACAAAATTTTTGTTAATCAAATCAAATCAAATTTGATTTGATTAATTAATTAATGAGAACGAAAAAAAAAATTCAATTCATATCATTCGAAAATTAACACAAATTTTAATGTTTCGTTTTACTCAATTTTCAGTCATTTCTTCAACTTCAATCATGATGATGATGATGATCTTGAAACAACTGATCATCATCAAACTGTATTATAATGTTGGCCGCTGCCCTTTATATACTATCGTCGTTTGTATTGGAGAATATTTTTTTTTTGTTTCATTTATAAAATTGACGCATGTCTATTTCTGATGATGGTCATGGTGGTTGGTTGGTTGGTTGGTTGGTTGGATTCAAACAAACACTTTAATGTGCAACAATATGATTCCACCATATATTTTTCAATTCCATTAACTACTATGCATGAATCCAAGAAATAAAAAAAAACCAAATAAGCTTGCCAATGTTCTAAGATTCTAAAACACTATTATGGTGGGCGTAAGATGGGCGTATGCTTACCTTGTTTTATTTTTTATTTTCTGAATAACACAAAATGGCCATAGCTTATTATTTCGTATCAATTTAAACGCGGAAATCGATTCCAGCGTGTGTGTGTGTCGGTATGCGGAAATCGATATCCATATACCGACACACACCATCAAAAGTCTACTAACAAAAAATTGAGCGATCAAAAAAAAAAAAAAAAAATGTCAAACTTTATACTACATATTGCTGGATCATGGAAATTACTGAATTCGAATGAAATTGATGAATTCCAATGAAATTAGATCTTTTGGTTTTTTTTAGTTCTTCGGAAACAACCCGATGAATGTGGCAGTAAAATGAAATTTAAAACTTTTTCGACAATCAATGTTCAAACACATACGCACACACACACACACACACACAGATTGTATTTGTTGGCGATATAAATGTTTTTTTTTTTTTTGTTGCATTAAAAATTCGATATTTTTTTCATACCAGCGGTAATCGATAATCATCATATTAATTAATGATCAAATCACGAAATAAAAGTCAGTAAACCAAAACCATTTTGTGACCAATATGCAATGATAATTTATATGATTTCTTCTTTGAGGTTTGTGGCTTGTGTTGGATATATGAAAAAAAAAAAAAAACAAAATTGAATTATTTCCAACGAATCATCATTTGTTTTTTTTCGCTCTTTCTCATTCCAATGAATGGTCGATTGGATGGATCTAAAAGTTTCTGCCGTTACTTGGATATATATATATGTTCACCCTGTGAACACTGTGGAATTCATAAGCCATGATTATGAGAATGATGAAAAAAAAATGAAAATGAAAAGAATTTCTCTTTAGGCTTATTCTTTGGTTTTTTTTCGCATATACAAGGGGTAATCATCAAACACACACCGTACCGTGAAAAAAAAAAAAAAAAAGAAAATTCAAACCTCTGGCATTGTTGCTGTATCATGAAATGTTTGGCTTCCAGATTTCCAGATTTAATTTCATTTCTTTTTTTTTTTTTTTTTACTTGGCCAGAATCGGATGCAGATATATGCAATTTGAATTTCGTACAATTTATTCATGTGTTTGTAATCATTTCATATGTATATGAATACTGTTTTGTGTCGTTTTCTTTTTTTTTTTTTTTTTTTTTTTTTTTTGATTATACAAAGATTTATGATTTTTTTTTTTTCTTTTTTGCTCTCTCACATATAATTTCATTTATTTTTTCCACGTACAACTCAATGATTGTTTGGTTTCTGCAAAAAAAAAAATTTTATTTTTCATTCTTGGATTCTGGCTTGGATTCTTACAATGAAAGTGTAGACATAGGTCTTGGAATTTTTTTCATTTATATTTTTTTGCATTTAAATGTGAAAACAAAAACTTCCTGGAAACCATCACCATCATCATCAGGTCACATTTAGTGGCAGTAAATAGAATAAATAGAATCTCAACAGCAATGAAAATGTTTCGGCACATCATCATTTCAACCACCATTAATTCTACACTAAATAGAATTGATATCAGATGGCCAAATATTTTTTTCTCATCATCATCATCATCATCATCATCATCATCATAAAATTTTGATCATCAAAAACCACGATGATAATTGATCTAAATTCTTTCATTGTTCATTTAGTTTTTTTTTTTCTACTTTTTCATCATCATCATTACTTGATTATTTATTTTTATTATTATCAAATTTACTTTATGTTTACGGGGTTAAATTCTCCATTATAAAGGTTAAAACGAATTTTCTTTAAGAATCCAATTCCAATTCAAGAATAATTTGGTAAAAAGTAATCAAAAAATTGTTGTTGATTATATTGGAAATTATTATTACCATCGTTTTCAACAATGATTTCTTGTCAAAAACAATTGGTTTGTAGAAAAATGATAAGAAATCGATCAAGGCAAATATTTTGCGCAATATAAATAGTCCAAAATTGCATTCAAAATGTATCTAATAATTTTTTTTTTTTTTTGTTTTTCACTGATGAAAATCATAATGATCGATATAGAATAATTGATTTTGCATTAGATTCATTTTTGTTGTTGTTGTTGTTGTTGTGGTAATCATTGTGTAATAATCGATTTTTATTTTGTATTCAAGATCCAGAATCGATCGATTGAATTTTTTTTATCAAAATTGCTGATAATATCCGAATATTATGATTCGAAGAAAACAAAAATACATCATCGATTATGAATGAACAATTTTTTTTTCTCTCCTACCAAATTGTTGGTCAAAATGATAGTGTGACAACAAAAATGTTGAATCATGGGCTAATTTGTGGTCATAATCATCATCATCGAAAAAAACTTGCAACGATCAAGCAGCAATATCCGAATCGAATAATCAAATGAACTCAAAAAAAAAGAAAATTGTAACGCATCATAAATTTTTTTTTTGCTCTTTTCGAGATGTAGAGTTCATTATGAATGACTTAATCTATGAATGGTAGCCAAAAATCAAATGAAATGAACAACAAACCAAACCAAACCAGAAGGAAAAAAAACACTGTCCTGGTTTATTTCACATTTGATCGCAATTTTTGGCTTTTGTGTGTGTGTGTGTGTGGATTCTTATGTGTTTGAAAACTGAAAAACGTCCATTCATTTCATTTCTTAATGACAACGAGAAAAAAAAGATTGTCGCTGCTGTTGTTGATGATGGTAAATGTGTTCAAATCAATCATCCGGATTCTTGAGATCAATGCGAGATGAAAAAAAAACCAAAAAACATTTTTTCAATAAAAATAAAATGTCCATGTTGGGATACCCTTATGATTTAGTTTTTTTTTCTTTCTTCATCATCATCATGTCTTGTTGTATTTGGCTAATCAAGCCGAACAAAATAGATTTCAATTCTCAATTCTTGATGCTTGATTTTGGTGATTTTTTCTCTCTTAGTTGACCATGATATAAATCTTGGACAAACAAGAACAAAATATTGTTGGATTTCTGTTTACTGAAAAATGAAATAACATATTTGGTATGTAAGAAACGTATCAAACATTTTTTTTTTTTTTTTTTGGTTGTTGATTTATAAAGAAATTCATACGATAAAAAAAATCTAGATTCACACAGAATCACCATTAATTTATTACATTATCATCAAATGGCTGTTAACAAAAAACGATTCAACTAAAGAATAATCAACAATTCGAAGATCCATTCATAGAAACTGTTTTTTTTTTTATTTTTGTTTGTTTGTTTGGTCCAACGAAAATCTTTTCCAACAACGTCCAATCCAATCCATTCATTATAATAAATTAGCCATTCAATAGTGTGGTTGCTGTTATCGTAAAAGGCAATCAAGGCTTATCATTCAAAATGATCGGTGAAAAGTGAATCTTGATTTAGATGGTTTTCTGTTTCTGTTTTTCTTTTGGTTAAAGCAACCCTAAAAAAAATGAACGTCAATTGAATTTTAAGTTTTGCCATTTTCTGAACCATATATAGTTGATCGTTTTTTCAATGAATACTGAAAGATTTTTTATTTTCATTGTTTAATAGCTAGAGATAAAACTGTACAGTCGAATCGAATCGAATCAAATCAAATCAAATCAAATCAAATCGATAGGAGATAAAATGTCATCATCATTATTTTGATGTGAAATCGATGGATAAATATTGAAAAAGCAGAAAATTTTTTTTTCATTTCATAACATTTGAGAGAACAGATTAACCAAAAGCCATTGTCATGTTATTTATTTAATGGTTTATGATTTCCGGAAAATATTTTATAATCACAAAAATGGTGAAAATGAAAAAAAATTTTCTGTTAATTAATTTTTCATATAATAATTATGGCTGTTTTTTTATTATTGTTGTTGTTATTATTATTATTATTATTGTTGTTGTTGTTGTTGTTGTTGTTGTTATTATTATTGATTATTGATTATTTATTAATTGTGGTTAATTTTTCAATCTGAATTCATTCATTTTCTATCGCTTTCCGGTGGTGGTGGTGTGGTGTCAATTTTTTTCTAAATTGTCGCCTAAATCGTTGTTGTTGACGCTGTTGTTGTTGTTGTTGTGATGATGATGGTGACGGTGGTGGTGGTAGATAACTTATGTGATTATAATTTTGAAAATAATTCTTTGCAAATAGATATTCATCAATAATCCATGGATGATGTATTAGATGTTGAATTTTAATTCGTTTCATTGGATCCGGTTCTAACATTGCCGTTAATATATGTATCAAAATATCCGGTGGATTTTCAGCAACATTGTCCGAAAATGTCCAACAATGTTGTAATTGTAATTGTAATTGATTATATGAATTTTTCGCTTCAAATGGAAATCTATCATTTAACATTACAAATAAACAAACACCTAATGACCAAATATCGGCCATAAATGCATTATATGGCCGTTCTTTGATTATCTCCGGTGCCATATAATCCATTGTACCACAATATGTACGATTCAATACAACATTACCGCTATAATCATATGAAATCAATCTGCTAAGACCAAAATCTGTAACCAATATTGTTAGCTTTTCATTTGGATGTCGTATCAATAGAATATTTTCCAATTTCAAATCACGATGTGCAATATTCATTGAATGAATATATTCAATGGCCACAAGCATCTGTGCAAATAACATCTGTGATTCACGTTCTTTTAAAACACCTTTCACACGTACATGACGTGCCAATGTTCCTGAATTGGCCAATTTAATAAATATATACAAACTAGTATTGATGACAAAATGTGCATACAATTTAACTATATATGGATTATTTAATTTTTTCAATATGAATAATTCATTTTTTAAATCTTCAATTTTTGATGAATCAGCATTTATTACTCTACTTTTGCCTATGAAAACAAAAACAATAACAACAACACACATTAGATCAATATAACAAAATATATGTAATTATATAATTAGTAAAGTACTAACTTTTTGCAATATCAATTTTTTTACATGCCACTTGAATATTGGTCATTATATGTGTTGCATAGTATATGCTTGCAAAACCACCTTCAGCAAATCGTTGTCCTAATTTATAGCCATAATATTGTATAATTTGTGTTTCATTTGCAAATCTTGTACTTGGTACCTGATAAAAACGTGTAAATTTATCCGCATCAATCCGATTTAGTTGTCGTGAATCACAACATTTGCTTAAACTTCGTACTAGACCATCGTTCGGTCTTTCGTTCATGTTCACAAATTTTTTCGACTATTTTAATTCCCTGATTTTATACGATTTTCAAGAAAATAATTTAAATTACATAGGAATTATTGAATTTTTCATATTAAAATTGAATTTTAAATTTTAATTGAATTTTTTTTCAGAATTATTCGCCTATACAAGTCAATTTTTCTTGACACCAAATAGTGCCCGGAGGACAGGGCATAATATGAACCCACCAGCCACCATTAACAAATTCACAGACTAAATATTTGTGTATATTGGTTGGATGTGGGATATCACCTTCCTTGTAACATTTGATAAGATGTCCATCGACATAGGTTGTATATTTTGGTGTTTCGCTTGTGTGTTCGGTCGTGGTTGGCGAAGGTGTCGATGTTGTAGGGGCTGGTGTTGTTGTTGTTGGTGTTGGTGTGGTGGGAGAAGGAGTTGTTGTCGGTGTGGTGGGAGAAGGGGTTGTTGTCGGTGTGGTGGGAGAAGGGGTTGTTGTCGGTGTGGTGGGAGAAGGGGTTGTTGTCGGTGTGGTGGGAGAAGGGGTTGTTGTCGGGGTGGTGGGAGAAGGAGTTGTTGGTGTTGTAGTCGGGGTTGTGGGTGTCGTCGTTGGAGTTGGTGTCGTTGTACTTGGACCCAAAATGCATTCGAAAGAGTTTTTTTCGTCGCCATTAATCATATTATGAACTTTGTTCAACAATGGATTTTTCGGTCCGCAGTGACCTTTGAAATCATCATTTTCCAATGACCAAACCATGACACCAGAAACGCCTAATTCTTTCAGGAAAGCCAACTGTTGCAATAAAAAATCATTAACTTGCGTGAAATATAAAGAAATTATTTAAAGACTCACCTTGCATGATATACTGGCCAGATCATCGTAACCGACCCAGATTTTATCGTTGTATCCATATGGAGCATTGTAATATTCATCGTATTGGATATGCCATTCTTCTTTTTGGAACAATTGACACAATTCGATGTATGAGAGGACACCTTCTTCACCAGAAATAAAGCCTGGTGGCGACATGCCTTTGGCTGGATCTCCAAGTTTGAGTTTGCTTCGATCTTCAATGCTCCAAGCACGGCCATAGAATGGAACACCCATTACCAATTTGTCTCTGGTGGCACCATTGTTCAAATAATAGTGCATGGTGTAGTTGACATTGAAGTAAGTGTGCAACTCATCAGTTTCATCCGGTCGTTTATACAACGGAGCGTTATGACCGTAAAAGTTTTCCCATCCACCGTGGTAATCATATGTCATGACATTCATCCAATCGAACAATTTGTTCAATTCTTTGATATCATAAGCTCGATCGATTTTGTCTTTACCGGGTGATACTGCAGCAGTCAACAAGTAGCCATGAGGTTCAAAAGCGTCTTTAAGTTCTCTAACCAAAGCCAAATAGTTTTGTTTGTCGATTTTCGGGTTACCCAATCGAGATCCAGGATACTCCCAATCCAAATCTAGACCGTCGAACTTGTATTCTTGCAAAAAGTCCAAAACTGATTGTATGAATTGTTGACGATATGTTGGATTTGCAGCCATATCGGAATATTTTTCCGAGCCTTCATACCAACCACCAAGTGAAATCATGGTGGTTAATTCTGGATTCTTCAATCGCAAGTTATTGAAACGTTCATAACCACCTATCGAAAATTTGAATTTTTTTAAATTATATATCAGGTTTATTCATTATACTTACGTTTTTCCCATGAGTTATGGTTATCATCTTGGTAAGGATCGAAAACTTGAATTGTGTATTTGTATTCATCAATTTTAGCAAAACCATACATTAAATGTGTACACTTGAATGGATCAATATCTTCGATAGTGTACGGGTCAACTTTATGATATACGGACCATGTTCCAACATAACAAACAATTCTCATCGGATTTTTTGAATAATCATTATGATCTGAAAAATTCATTCTTTAATCAAATCCGTCATTGTTTTTCAATATATCTACTTACCTCGTTTGATGGATGCATTCATAAGGCCAATGCAGGCCATAATACTAAGTATTGCATATATGGTTTTCATTTTTCATTAATCAATTTTTAAAAAAATGAACGGTAATAACAATCAAAGTGAGCATCTGAATCCTTATTTTTATAATAGATGGATTAGCTCTATGAAATAAATTATTTCACTGTTTATTTTATCTTATTTTTTTATTTGATTAATTGATCCGTGATCTTATGATTATCGATTGGCGACAATTATGATGCGTTGTGCCATTTATTATATAGATAAGATTAAGTTTAATTAATTAATTTTTTTTCATTTCTCCCTCCGATTTTGTTGTTCATTAAATAGGATTTCAATTTAGATGGATAGCCATCGATTGGATGTGATCAATAGTTATGTTGATCAATATAAATCAATCAATCAATATTTTTATAGGACAGAATCTTGAATCAAAGTCCTTTTGATACTTTTGATACATGGTAACGAATAAATATTGTTCATATAGATTTTATTCAAAATTTTTCGAACAATTTTCATTGAATCAGCTGATTTTTTAAAAACAAAAATTTAAATAAATTGAATCAAAGAGTTTTAATCATTTTTTATTTATTCAACAATAATAGACTACTACATAAATTGTGATGATTATTCTTGAATACAATTTTTCAATGTTGCATGCCATCTAGTTCCTTTTGGACAATCCATTATGTGTACCCACCAACCACCATTTGGTGTGGCAATATATTCACAGACCAGATATTTATGCACATCGGTTGGATGCGGTAGATAACCTTGTTTATAGCATTTAATCAAATGTCCATCGATATAAGTGGTGTATTTTGGTGTTTCGCTTGTGTGTTCGGTCGTGGTTGGCGAAGGTGTCGATGTTGTAGGAGTTGGTGTTGTTGGTGTTGGTGTGGTGGGAGAAGGAGTTGTTGTCGGTGTGGTGGGAGGAGTTGTTGTCGGGGTGGTGGGAGAAGGGGTTGTTGTCGGGGTGGTGGGAGAGTTCCTTTTGGGGAGTTGTTGTGTTGTGGGAAGTTGTTGTCGGGGTGGTGGGAGAAGGGGTTGTTGTCGGGGTGGTGGGAGAAGGAGTTGTTGGTGTTGTAGTCGGGGTTGTGGGTGTCGTCGTTGGAGTTGGTGTCGTTGTGCTTGGACCCAAAATGCATTCGAAAGAGTTCTTTTCGTCACCATTAATCATATTATGAACTTTGTTCAACAATGGATTTTTCGGTCCGCAGTGACCTTTGAAATCATCATTTTCCAATGACCATACCATGACACCAGAAACGCCTAATTCTTTCAGGAAGGCCAACTGTTGCAATAAAAAAATCATTAACTTGCATGAAATAAAAAAAATTATCTGAACACTCACCTTGCATGATATACTGGCCAGATCATCGTAACCGACCCAGATTTTATCATTGTATCCATATGGAGCATTGTAATATTCATCGTATTGGATATGCCATTCTTCTTTTTGGAACAACTGACACAACTCAATGTATGAGAGGACACCTTCTTCACCAGAAATGAAACCTGGGGGCGACATGCCTTTGGCTGGATCTCCAAGTTTGAGTTTGCTTCGATCTTCAATGCTCCAAGCACGGCCATAGAATGGAACACCCATTACCAATTTGTCTCTGGTGGCACCATTGTTCAAATAATAGTGCATGGTGTAGTTGACATTGAAGTAAGTGTGCAACTCATCAGTTTCATCCGGTCGTTTATACAACGGAGCATTATGACCGTAAAAGTTTTCCCATCCACCGTGGTAATCATATGTCATGACATTCATCCAATCGAACAATTTGTTCAATTCTTTGATATCATAAGCTCGGTCGATTTTGTCTTTACCGGGTGATACTGCAGCAGTCAACAAGTAGCCATGAGGTTCAAAAGCGTCTTTAAGTTCTCTAACCAAAGCCAAATAGTTTTGTTTATCGATTTTCGGGTTACCCAATCGAGATCCAGGATACTCCCAATCCAAATCTAGACCGTCGAACTTGTATTCTTGCAAAAAGTCCAAAACTGATTGTATGAATTGTTGACGATATGTTGGATTTGCAGCCATATCGGAATATTTTTCCGAGCCTTCATACCAACCACCAAGTGAAATCATGGTGGTTAATTCTGGATTCTTCAATCGCAAGTTGTTGAAACGTTCATAACCACCTATCAAAGATTTGAATTTTTTAAAATTATATATCAGGATTATTCATTATACTTACGTTTTTCCCATGAGTTATGGTTATCATCTTGGTAAGGATCGAAAACTTGAATTGTGTATTTGTATTCATCAATTTTAGCAAAACCATACATTAAATGTGTACACTTGAATGGATCAATATCTTCGATAGTGTACGGGTCAACTTTATGATATACGGACCATGTTCCAACATAACAAACAATTCTCATTGGATTTTTCGAATAATCATTATGATCTGTGATATGATATACAAATGTATTATTCAAACCTATCATGAATTATTTCCCTGAATACTCACCTCGTTTGGTGGCCGCATTCAACAAGCCAATACAGAAGCATATACAAAACAATGCAAATGTCGTTTTCATTTTCATTATTTCTTTTAAAAAAAAAAAAAAAAATCAATACACGATGATCAAATCCAAAGTATCACAATGATTTTCAATGTTTCTTATTCTTATAGTCAATGTCATGGCTAACTAGGATGAAGTAGTGAGGAGGCACAAATCACATGAAATCATATCTGATTTTTAAAAATAGTTACGTTGTCAAGTGCCCGTTGGTATTAAGAAATTGCAAAGAACAATAATCCCAAACGTATCAAATAGGATTTTCGATAAATTAAATAATATAATCAATCAATCAATCAAAAAAAAAAATTGACATCTTCATTGCATTTTAGATGCATATCAAATTGATAATCGCCAATATTGATCATAGATTTCAGGTAAAAAAATATCTGACATCATTTACACACACACACACAAACATTAAAAAAAGATTTTCATAATGCAATCGATTGATAGTTTTAATCCAATTTTATAGTGGAAATTTTCAATATTTTCTTGATTGATTTTAAACGGGTAATGCATTGGTATTCAATTTCAGTAAAGTAAAAAATCATCGTTATCATTCTCTCTTGTTTTTCATCATCATTTTGTTTATTATCATCAATTTGATTTTTTTCATCGCCAAAAATTTCAATTAAATTTTGCATTTCACTTTTTTCCATTACGTCATTGTCTTTAAAATTTTTCTCTTGTTGACGATTTTGATGATGATTATGGGAACCATTTTTTTTATCAAGTAAAATAGCCTCTTCACTTGGTTCAATTTCATTGTCATCATCATTGTCATCATCTTGATTATTTTTGTAATTATTATTATTGTTACCAATATCATTATCTTCATCATCATGATATTCCACAACTTGACCATAATTAGTATTAGGCAATAATGACGTTTGTAATAGACAACTTTTCGATAGATCCAATTCGAATGGAACAAAACAATTCACTTCCAGATGTTGATGACAATTACTAATGAATGAACTTAATGATGATATGAATTTTGTTATATGTGTTGCAATATTATGTACATGTTTTTGATCCAATAATTCCAATTTCACTAGTACATCCGATCGTAATGCTGCAAAACGTTTTCGTGCTTCTTGTCGACAACGGAGAATAAGACGATATTCATAATTACCAGTTTCAACACGATAAAATGGTTCTTGTAATGCTTGATATGTATATTCTTCATCATCCATTTCTTTGACTTTTAAACAATATGACTATAAGAAAAAAAAAATTTTGAATAATAAATATATCCAAATCCAAATGAAATGAAATTCATAATAATAAATTACCAGATATTCAAATTTGGCATCAGCATATTTTTTAATCGTTAATTGTGTATCCGGTATTGCTTTGTTTAGATAAGTATTCAAATCGCTCAATATCTAGTAAAAAAAAGAATCAAAGTTGTACAAAATCATCAAAAAAAACCATCGGATTATTTGTATTCATCACTTACTGGTTTTAAATCTTTAAGCATTTTTGTTCCTTCTTTTTCAAATGAACGATGAACATTACCAAAATTAGTGAATGCAAGACTAGCATCAGTTTGTGGTTCATGTGCACCAATTTCATTGAATACATCACCAAAATCTTTATAAGTGGATACAATATCCATATAGCTACGTATCACATAATTCATGTGCGTTATTAAACCTTTGAATATGAATTCATTTCGATCAAGTTCTTGAAGTTTTTTTACTAGGCTATCTGCAGTTTGCAAAAAAAAAAAATAGAAATATCGAATCTTAATAAAGACAACAAAAAAAATTTTCAATAAAATTACCATTGCATAGAATAGCACGACTTAATCCAAGTGCATCAGCTGTAGCAGAATCCATATTATCAACCATTTTATGTTTCAATTTTTTCAATATTATATCCAATGTTTTTCCTTGTTTTGGATCAGCATGAAGTTTATTATAACCAATGGTCACTTCGTCTTTTATCGATTGTATCATACGTGCAACTTCAACTTTGGTACTTCCTTTTACACATTTTCCATCAACACTAATGATTTCATCACCAGCTTCTAATGTACCATCTTTAGCGGCTGGTGTATTTTCGAACACCTGTACAACATAAAGACATGGACAATTTGGTGCACCACCACCGATACTGATACCAATTAGATTACCATCATCTTTTTTGATTTTCACCAAACCCGATGATACACGCATTCCCCTGTGGTGGTGATAATAATAATGATAATTTTCAAAAAAATAAATAAATAAAAATTAAAAATAAACAATTACATTCGATCTTCTCCATAATAGTAGTAATAATTATTATTATTATGGTCACAATCGGACCAACGATAATAATCATCATATGAATATGAATATGGATTCATATTGGCAAAACAAAACAAAAAAAAAGAGAAAAACAAGAACAAACCAAACCAAGCAGAGAAATGAAACAAAACTAGAATAATATATCATCAGTATTGTTTGGCGACACACACACCAAAGGAAATGCATTAAATCCTGTCATATTTATCATAATTTTCAATTATGAACTCAATTATGAAATTAGATCGAAAATTGTATCCGGTTTGATTTTTTGTTTGTTTATTATGAACACATATGGTTTGAGAATGGTACTTACATTTTATCTTCATCATACAGATATCCATCCTCTTCTTCCATTAGCATATCGGACATTTTTTGTTTTTGATTTCAATTTTTTATTTGTTTGTCAAAATGTTTTCAATTCCATATGGTATGTTTTGCAAATCTTTTATAAATAACACATCACATCACATCACATCATGTGTTTGTGTGTCATGTAAAATTGTTTTATATATACCATTATGCTCGCAATCATTTTTGTTTCTGGATCATTTAACCATCATTTTTTTTTCATTCAATATACCACTACTACAGAATTGTTGTTGTTTCGGTAATTTTTTTAATGGTTTTATATATAGAGAGGAAGATTCCATAATTCTGGTTGGATAGGTTGGAATTTTGATTTTTTTTTTAATCAAAATCAACAAAAGAAAAATCCAGCCACATCAATGGCGACCTCTATGAATAGAGATTCGAAACATTCAAAGCTATTTCCTCCTGTCGATTTTTTTTTTTCTGTTGTTCCTCATTTTTTTTCTCATCAACAACAGAAAAAAAAATTCCTGACCCAATGATTAATCTACTTTGACCTTTTGTCACAAAACTATTCGAGTTGTTTTTTTATTTTACTCTTTATTTTAAACTTACTTTTTCATCAAATTCATTTCAAAAATTTGAACATCTGTCAATGTTTAATACTATTTCAATGGTTCGAATAATCAACTAAATTATCAATCATCAACATCAACATTTTTATTATTATCAATCATTCGTAAATGATTTACAAACATCCTATCCTATATAAATATCAATTTTAATGTGAAACACAAAAAAAAATCCATAAAATTTCAAATACAATCTTTCAGGTGATGAAAATGACGTAGTATGTGTTATGTATCATGAAACCATGTGACCAAATCATTGAAAAGTGAAAAATTTTTTCAACATCATCATCAATGTTATATATCAAACCAGAAATCTCGTCGTAGTAGTATTTGATATCCTTTCTCCTATATAATATCATTGTCAATGTGAAATTTGTAAACCGAAATAAAAACTGAACATATATCCCGTTGATGGTAAAGAAAAAAAAAAATTTTTTGGTGAGTAGTATGTTTGTTATTTGGATTGGATTGGATTGCAACCAAAATATTTTCATTCTGTCTTGCGTGTATCAGAATACACATGTGTTTTGTGTGTGTGTGTGTTTTTTGTCGTCTTATGTTGTTTCTGCAATTTGTTGATAAATTCCATCGAAATCTGCAAAAAAAAAAATGATGAATGGTAAATTCATAATAATTGTAATGACGAATAACGAATAAATAAAAAAAAATCCCCAAATTGTTTCATACACTCACTACATTGATTGCTGTAACCGAAGCAACCTTATGTGACATTATTATTTTTTCCTGATTCACTTATTGTCTGTATATGTAGTAGTTGAATGAATTCCGATTGACATAATAATAACAATGATGATGATATGGATGATGATTTTGTCTAAAAACATTCACTTTTGGCTAGATTTGTCTTTTTTTTTTGTTCATCATGGCATTGGCATTTGTTTTTTTTTGTTCATGTAAATGTGTGTGTGTGTGTTCATTAAATAAATGACTAGTGATGTTTTCAATTTGACGACTGATCATGACGATTCTTAATTTTTTTTCTACTCCTCTTATTTTGTTTGTTCACATTAATTCTTCAGTTAATGTTGTAATGGAAAAACCATCGGTATTCATTCTTTAACGGAATTCACTGTTCATTCATTTGATTTCCGCTAGGCTATACTACAGTAGATCAGAATCTGAAAAGTTGACTGATGATGATCAAATGAAAACGTGGTAGGAATTTTTTTTCCTTTTTTTGTCTCACTTGCTATAACATAACTATAGCTATTTTTTACTTGTGATGGTATCGAATTTCCAATTTTGATATTCAAAAGTCATAATTATCATCATCATCAAATCATGAAATAAAAAACCTGAAATGACACCTTAAAGAAAAAAAAATATTTTACATCAAATCATTATTATCAATTATTAATCTCAGTTTTTTTTTATCCGAATCCAGATCGACTATGAGATGGTTTTAGCGTGCCTTTTTTATTTATCGGCCATCATTATCATCAAATCGATACATGTCATAAACGACAAATATTTGTCCAAACTACAATAAATCCTAATTTGTTCAATAATATACATACACACACACACACACATTAACGAATTATCAATCATTATCATCGAAAATAAAACATCAAAATTTCAATGTTTGATCATCATCATCATCATCATCATCATGTATTGAATTGATATATGCAATACAATGTATCCAATGTGCACATGTTTATGGAGTGTATTTGATCACCGGATAAATTATCATCATAGCTGAACAAATTTTGTTGATAAAATCAAATTTGAATTGGTAAAAAAAAATATATGAACATCGATATCGAATTGAAGAATAATAATTTTTTTTTTTTTCTAGTTTTAGTTTTTTTATCTCTCAATCACACACACACACACACACACACACGCATACAAAGAAGTGCCTTCTGTTTGGTTTTTATTTCGATTTTTTTGTGTGTGTGTGTGTGTTCAATTTTTTTTTATAGAGACATCAAAAAAAAAATTTGCCCATTGTTTGTTTGATTGTTGAGCTTCGATTCTGGATTTCAAGATTTAAAACAAAAAATCTGCCTACAATTTTTTTGTGATCATAATAGCATCAAAATCGACCAATTTCGATAATCATCCATTATATCATCACACACACACACATTTATTTATTTTTGTTGGAAATTTGTTTTTTTCTTCGTGTTTTTTGTTGTTGTTGTTATTGTTGTTGTTGTTGTTTGTCCATTGATCATCTCATTCTCAATCATCATCATTTAATCATCATAATATCGAATGTTGTTTACATATGTCAATCATCATTTACGATTAATATTAGTAGTTGACAAAGGAGAGAGAAAAAAATTATCACCATCATCATCATCATCAACGACAAATTATTATTGTCAACACGCGTCGGGTAAGTTTTATTTTGAATTCAAAATAGCCGATAACAAAAAAAAACTATAGGAAAAAAACAGTTTGAATGCATGTTACGCAAAATGTCAAATTTTTTTTTTGGTTTTCTTCTTGTTCATCTTTTCCCAATTTGATTCGCTATTATAAGATGCATGTATTAACCCGTGATTACAAATTGATTGAATCCAAATTAGCCAAGAAGGTCACATTCACATTTATATAGAACGCAAGTGCACATTTTTTTCAACTTTATTTTCCAAATAAAATTTTCATTTTTGATTTGTTTTGATTTGATTTTGTTGTATCATCATCATCATCATCATCATTATCACTATCATTATCATCATGATTTATCTTCTTCATAGTCATCGTCATCAACATATATAACATATAATCATTTTATAAATACAATTTGTTTGAAAATAGAGCAAAGAAAAAAAAATTTCTTTTTTTTCACTGTTTAAAACCAAAGAAATTTTTTTTTCAGTTGGCATCGACAAAAATTCTTTTTTTTTCATTTCATTTCGATAAGATTCATATCTTGACAACATATAAAATGATGCATCTATTCATATTTATCTTGTTTGCAGTTTCATTGTCGAAGACCTTCTAACAGATAATGAAATAGGGAGAGAGAGACATTTTAGCTTCGGGTAGTGGTGGTGGTGGTTTTGATTTGTTTTAAATTTTTTCTGTTCTAGTTTCAATATCATTTTTATATTCTTATTCATAAAAACACACACACAAAGAAATTAGAATCAACCTGTGAATAATGATGCTGACGATGATGGCGATATGTTACAATTTTTCTTTTGTTCATTACTGAAAATATATACCATTCCATATATTCACATCGCATCTGAATTCATTGACGTCGTCATCATCATCATCATCATCAACATCGTCGTCGTCGTCGTCGTCGTAGTCGTCGAAACTCGTCTGTGTATACGTCGGATATAAAACGATTGTTTATGGCTGAGTGAAATTGGTTTTGTTATTTTTTCTGATCTTTCTTTCCCTCTCCTCTCTCATTTTTTTCCCTATCCGAATGAAAACTTGTTTCGTTTCATTTCATTTCTGTTTTGTTTTGTTTTGTTTTGTCTTTTCAAAATGAGGGAAAGCAAAGTGTTTTTCATTCACGATGTGTGTGTGATATCTGATGATGATGATGATTATTAATGTGCAAAGGTGCGTCTTGTGTCTGTGTTTGTGTCTATGTTTGTGTGTAATGGTCATCAGCTGGCTATTTCGATTTTTTTTTTTTTTTGATCCTTTTTTTCTTCAATTAAAACTTGTTGATTAATGAAAAATTTCTCATCTTTTTTATTCCGAAATATCATAGCTGTGAAAACAACAACCAGCCTTAAAAAAAAAAAAAATATAAGCAATGAAATTTGCCGAACATTTATCGGCGCATATAACTCCAGAATGGAGAAAACAATACATTCAATATGAGGTTAGTTTTTCAGTTTTTTATGATGATTTTCTTAATTTTTTTTCTGTTTTTTTCTTCATAGCACATGAAAGAAATGCTATACGATGCCGTTGATTCCATACCGATTGAATGTCAAGAACATGAATTTCTTGAAATTGTACAAAAATTTGATGAACAATTTACACATTTTTGTGAAAAAGAATTAAACAAGATAAATTCATTTTTTGCTGAAAAATTAGCCGAAGCTGTACGAAAATTTAATGATCTTAAAAATGAACTTGATTCAGTTATTCCTGGTTCAGGTGATCAAGATCAATTTGAAGTTCAATTCACAACACCGCCATCATTTCAACAATCAAAAGAAACGCAAAAAAAACAAAGCCGAAAATTATTGAAAAAAATCAACGATCTTAAATTGGCATTTTCGGAATTTTATCTTAATCTTGTTTTATTACAAAATTATCAAACACTTAATTTTACCGGTTTTCGGAAGATATTGAAAAAACATGATAAATTATTGAATACAAATGCCGGTAATCAATGGCGTCAAAATAATGTTGATCATGCACGTTTCTATACTAATAAAGAGGTGGATAAATTGATTGAAAAGACTGAAAATATTTTCGCCAATGTATTGGAAGATGGTAATCGTTCAAGGGCTATGAAAAGACTTCGGGTACCACCATTGAATGCTCAACAATCATTGTGGACCACATTCAGAGTTGGTTTCTATTCCGGTGTTTTAATCATCTTATGTGCTGCATTATTATTACAATCAATACAATCAAGTGATGTGATCAAATTTAATTACCTTTGTCTACTATTTCGTGGACCATTCTATATATGGTTATTCATATTTTTATTGGGAATCAATGTTTATGGTTGGCGTACATCCGGTGTAAATCATGTTCTTATATTTGAATTAGATCCACGTGATCATATTTCTGAACAACATCTATTTGAAGTGAGCTTCTTTTTCGCTGTGATATGGGCATTATCATTGTTAGGCTATTCATATGCAACATCATTCGATATTGATGGTAATCTATTTCCATTAGCCACCGTTATACTTTTCATTTTGTTTTTGATAAATCCAACGAAAACATTTCGACATACGGCTAGATTTTGGTTGTTACGTGTTTTGGTATGTATATATTCATCAAAAATGAATTTTCTTATTTTTATCACATTAATGATATTATTTGTTTATGTTTATATTCAAAAAATAGTATCGACTTTTAGTTGCACCATTCTATGCCGTTACGTTTGCCGATTTTTGGCTTGCTGATCAACTGAATAGTTTGTCAATATTGTTTGGTGATGCTATTTTTTACATATTTTTCTACATTAATTTTTATTATCTGAATTCGGACCATAATGGTAGAGTTATTTTTATTTTTGTTTTTGTATTGATATCATAATTGATTAATAATTATTTACAAATTGGAATAGCATCACATATGCCACATGGTAAAACCTATCTTACGTGTCGTGCAATTTTCGCTGCATTACCAGCATGGTTTCGTTTTGTACAATGTCTTCGACGTTATCGTGATGATAATTATCGTAGCCTATTTCCACATGTAGTAAATGCCGGAAAATATTCAACAACATTTTTTGTCATCGCATTTTCAACATTAACTGAATTAACATCAAGTAAGGATATTTATTGTTTGAATCATAATTGAATGATGATAATTTGGTTATTTATAATTTTTTACAAAGCAATTCCGGGTGATCCTTCTTCAAGTTCATTCTTTTATTTCTGGATTGCCGCATTGGTTATATCATCAATTTATACATATAGTTGGGATGTAATCATGGATTGGGGCCTAATGAATGTACGATCAACAGAAAATTGTCTATTACGAAATGAACTTGTCTATTCGAAACCATATTATCATATGGCATATATTGGTGATTTTGTTGGCCGTACAATGTGGGCATTTACAATTTCATTAAATCAGGTGGGCAATATTGATTCGGATTGGCTGGGCACCGGTGTTGCTACTATTGAATTGTTTAGGTATTTTTTTCTCCGTATTTAGATAATTTAATACAATAATTATTTTGTATTTCATTACAGACGATTTGTATGGAATTTTTTCCGTTTAGAAAATGAACATCTCAATAATTGTGGTGAATTTCGTGCCGTACGTGATATATCGATTGCTCCTATTACATTGAATTCAATAAATAACCATACAAATGGATTCCATAAAACGGGCGCTATATTCAAGAAAAAAGACAAGAAAAATCATAAACTACGACGATCGACTAATCAGTATTCAATAAAACGAAGGTAAATTAATATTATTCTCTTGTCTATATCAAAACTCATGTTCATCTTTTTTTTGTTTTGTTTTTTGTTTACAGCCAAGATGATTCCAAATCAAGCGAAGTAACACTTTTGATGGACACAACCAGAACGATTAGCCATAAAGATTATGATAAACTATGATATAAATAAAACAAAAAATACAAGCTATCCAAGCTATAATAATTAGGTTTAAATTATATGAAAATTTCTCGAATCCCGAATTTTTTTTTTACCACTTTTTTTCGGCCAATCACATTCATTTTAACAAATTCAATACAGAACAATCAAATCAAATCAAATCAAATTCATTGATTAAAGTATTTAAAAAAATACATGATTTTTCTCCACCATTCATCATCGAACTCAATTTACTTAATGTTTTTTCAAATTTGTTTTTTGACCTTAATCACATAAATCATCACAAAATTAAAAAGAAACAAAAAAAATTTATATCTACATTACTTGATGAATAAATACTCAGATGTGAAAGACAAAAAATTAGGTATTTTGTGTGTGTGTGTGGGAGTGAATGATAAAGCAAAAAAGAGGTGATGGATTTCCGTTTTGCTGTGTTGTGACATTTTTTTTTGTCGGTGTCATCAAACTGTTGTTGTTGTTATCATTTAACAATCATTAGCCGTGAATATTTCGAAAGAATTTTTCATTTTTTCATTTTTCATTTTTGCTTTCAATCAATCAATCAGCCTCAAAAAAAAAAAAACTTGAACTTTGGTCAAGTACTACTGATCGTTTTCCAAAATCCTTATCAAAATTCCATTTACATCAATTTAATCGGTTTTGTTTGTTTGTTCTTCTTCATAATGTGATTCTTTCATATCAGTTGAAAATATTTGTGCTTTGATAAGATTTGAATGTTTTTTTTTTGCTATTTTGATTATATACACAAAAACATCACTTGAGACCAAGATAATCGAGTAAAAATCTTAAACATTTCTTTTTTTTCTGATGAAAAGATCTTGTCCCTAATTGGAAACAATGTCTTTATATAAATTGATCTAAATAAATAACGCCACAACAAACAACTTGAACAATCAAAAAAAAAAAAAAATTCAATCTGAATTTGAAATGGCGATCAAGATTTATTTGTCCGTTGTTGTTTTGGTAATTTTTTCTCGAAATTTTTTTTTTACTAAATTTTAATTTTTCTATGACATTTTTTTGAAAAAATAGACACTACTAGTGGCTATCGATGCCTATAAAATATGGCCACATCCAAAAGAAATGAAAACAAATGAATCATTTTATCGATTGATCCGAAAAATTTTACAATAAAATCAAAAGTTAATGGTGATTGTCCAGTTCTTGATCGAGCAATCAAACGTTATTTAGATAGAATGTTCATAGTGGATTGTTCACGTGTAAATGAACATTTTCGTGGTAGATATTTTTCGAATAAGACGGAAAATTTTAACAAAATTCATGGTTATGATGGACAAATGACAATGGTACTGATACAGGTTCATGATAAATGTGAAACAATACCAAATACCGATATGAATGAAGCTTATACAATTAAAATCGATAAAGATCATTCAATAATCGATAGTAAATCCGTTTGGGGTGCATTACGTGGTCTAGAAACATTAAGCCAAATGATTACACGTGCTGGCAAAAATCAATTTCGCATTAATATTGGCCAAATCAATGATGAGCCTCGTTTTACATTTCGTGGTTTTATGTTGGACAGTTCACGTCATTATCTTCCTCTTCACGCTATTTATGAAACATTAGATGCAATGGAAATGAACAAATTCAATGTTTTCCATTGGCATCTTGTCGATGATCAATCATTTCCATTCGTTTCGACTACATTCCCGGCATTAAGTGAAAAAGGAGCATATAGATCGAATTTCATTTATACACCTGAAGATGTACAAAAAGTATCACATTATGCTAATGATCGTGGAATACGTGTCATACCAGAATTTGATACACCTGGCCATACACAATCCTGGGGAAAAGGTCAACCAAATCTGTTGACACAATGTTATGATGCAAAAGGAAAACCAAAACCCAATGTTTATGGACCGATAAATCCTGTATTAAATACAACCTATGAATTTATACAGAAACTTTTCCATGAAATAGCCCAACGTTTTCCCGATCAATACATCCATTTAGGTGGTGATGAAGTGGAATTTGGTTGCTGGAAATCAAATCCAATTCTACAAGAATTCATGAAAACCAATCATTTTGGTGATGATTATGCTAAACTGGAAAGTTATTATATAACCAAATTGATCGATATTGTACAGAATCTGAATCGAAGTTATATTGTATGGCAAGAAGTATTCGATAACAAAGTGAATATTCGTCCGGAAACGGTTGTTAACGTATGGAAAGGTAATGGATGGCCAACGGAGATGAAAAATGTAGCAAAAGCTGGTCACCATGTATTATTATCAGCTTGTTGGTATTTAAATTATATTGGCTATGGAACCGATTGGTATAAATATTATCAATGTGATCCACAAAATTTCAATGGCACACAACAGGAAAAGAATCTTGTGATTGGTGGTGAGGCATGTATGTGGGGAGAATTTGTTGATGCATCCAATCTTATAAGTCGAACCTGGTATGTAGTAAATTTTATTTATATTAATTGAATAGCAATTAATCTATACATAACATACATTACTTATAAGGCCAAGAGCGTGTGCTGTTGCCGAACGTCTTTGGAGTCCAGAATCGTTCAAAGATTATAAAAATGCTAAACCACGTTTCCATGAACAACGTTGTCGTATGCAAGTATTAGGATTGAAAGTTGAACCAATTGAAGGACCAGATTTTTGCTATTGTGATGATGCGATCTGATGTTGAAATTTCAAAACAATTATTAACTGATTATTGATTTACCATTTACTATGGGTTTTAATAGTCCACCATTTAAAAACATTAATGAATGAGATTTGATTTAAATAAAGAAATTGAACTTTGTATAATAATTTTTGACGATAATAAGTGAACAAATCAAATTAGTTTGGAATATATGAGAATTTGGACGTTCTATTTGAACAAGATCATCAAATCACTGGCGCAGCGCCCTCTATCATCATCATCATATATTATTAATAAAGTTCTTAATTGTATATAATATAATAGTCATACTATGTGAATATTTATTTTATATTAAATTCATTTGGATTTGGATTTAATTTAAATATAAATTGATTGTGTTTCATTCATTCATTCATCTGGTTCTGGAATTTATGTAAAAATGATAATCGAAACTAATACATCAATGAACAATAAAAGTAGATCAATGAAACGTAGACGTCGTCCACGTGGTAAGCAAAAAAAAAAAAAATAATGGATCCATCGATCACATGGATAATTAATCATCATTCTATTTTAACCCATTTTTAAAGATAGTTATTTTTTACAGCAAACATTTCGTACACATTATCCAAGAATGACTGTCGGTTCATGGATACCGATATTTAAATTATTGTCCATAATTTACCTGCTAATGGGTTTGGTTTGTTTTTATTTAAATTTTTCGGTTGTCGAATATAAATTTGAATATACAGAATGTCTTCGTGAATTTGATATCAATTCATCCCAACAAATGGATATTGTACATTGTAAAGATGTGATTGATAAAAATCCTGGTTCTATTTGTCGTTGTCAAATTCCAGTATATATGGAACAAATACCGAAAAATGTTTACATCTATTATGGAATGGAATTTTATTATCAAAATTATTTGCCATATGTTAGTTCGATTGACAGTTTTCAATTAAGTGGCCAACAATTAACAAGTGATGATTGTCCAATCATTAATAATCATACGCTGCCAATTGTTCCTTGTGGTATGGCTGCCAACAGTATGTTTAATGATACGTTTGAATTAAAAAAAAGAATCCTTGCTCGTGATCAATATGGAATTACTAAACGTTATCTGTATCCAATTTCAATCATACGAAAAAATATTAGCTGGAGATTTCCGGAACGATATCAAAATCCATCTGTACCATTGAATGAAACATTAGAATATGCATTTCGTGGCACAATGAAACCAAAAAATTGGCCACTACCAATCTATGAATTGGATATTGGTGATCCGAATAATAATGGTTTTGAAAATGAAGCATTCATTAATTGGATGCAAATATCACCATTTTCATCATTTCGTAAAGCTTATGGCCATATTGATCATCATCGTATGAATAGTTCATTCATATCGAATGGTTTACAAGCTGGTCAATATATTTTACAGATAAATTATTGTAATATATAAAAAAAAATCTTTTTAAATTCAAATCTAATTAATTTTATCTGAATTTTTTTTTTTTTCATATCTAGCATATCCGGTTCACCGTTTCAATGGGAAAAAATTCATAATCATTTCGAATACATCACCAATGGGTGGAAAAAATTATGTTCTAAGCTACATATTTCTCATAACATCTTTATTCACGGCAATAATTACCATTATATTCTATTATCTTGATAAACGATATGGCCAAGTGTAAGTTTTTGTTTTTTTTTGTTTGCAAAAATGAAAATTTTTTTTCACTTTTTTACCTTTTTTTATACATTTCATTTCACCAGTTCAACACAGGTTTATGATTATCTTTATCAAAATTATGAAACAGATGATCGAAATACTGGCTATAGATATTCACGTTTGAATTGAATGATAAAATGTCAATTCATTTTAACTACAACTAAAACTGATGTAATATTGATGCAAATATATTTTTGGTAATAATAATAATAATAAAAAAAAAATGATCATGATCATGACATAATTTACCTTTTTGTGACCACCCTCTCCTTCCTCGAAAAAAATGGCATTCACACATGTTACTGTCGCGCGGTTATAAGAAACAGAAAAAAAATTGATCCATAAGACATGAAGAGAAAATGAAAAAAAAATCAGCATCAAAATGAAAAGAAAAATATACCCCATAATGCTAATTTAATGAACATAATCCTACGTACACACACACACACACACACACACGGTTAGCCTAAATATAAATACAATGAAACGATGATGATGATGATCATCATCATCATAATGAAAAACACATGAATCAGAAAAAAAAGACAAGACAGAAAAACACACACACACAGAGAAATCTATCAACCATAATCAAGACTCACACACACACACACACAATATGTTTACTACTGGATTTCCGTTTTTTTTTTTTGTTTTGTCCTCTATTTTTTTCATGATCAAAAAAAAAATATTGGTCCATTGAGGCCAATAAAGATTCTTATTATTTTTTTTTCTTCTATCCAAGGATATTTTAAGATTCAAACAACAACAACGACAACAAATAATATGACATATTCGAATAAATTTGATCTGAACGAGAAAAAAAAATACAACCTCGCTTTATGGTAACATACAAGAAACCGATGTTGGTGCTGGTTGGTGGTGGTGGTGGTGGTGGTGGTGGGTGCACAGAGAGTAAAGAAAAAAATATAATGAGGACTCTGGGCCAATTAGGTCACAACACAAGAGAAACAAGACAAGTCAGTTGAAAATGGACATCTAGAGTAAAGAATTTTTTTCTTTTTTTTTGGTATAGAAATCCTCGGGACAAAAGTTGTTCAGCTTGTGTTCATCATCATCATCATGTTTTTTCAGTTTTTTCAGTTAATGATAATTCAATGTTTCATTTTTTTTCTTCTTCTTCCGTATACATCGTTGTCTTGACACACATATAGATGATGATGATAATATTGATTAGAAAATGGAACAAACACAGAAACAGAAACAGAAATGCGAACTCTGTATTCGGATAAATGAATCAAAAATATGGCAGTAGTAGCAGTAGCAGTGGTAGGAATAGCATTAGGATAACAAACGGAAATTCTTGGATAATAAGATTTTTTTTTCTTATTCGTTCGAATCTTTTTCAATCTCTTTCAATGCAATGTATCTTGTTTATGTGATCCATGATGTATCATGTAAGTGTGTGTGTGTTTTAGTATAAAACAATAATGACAAAATATCATCGAAGAGATGGATATATATAAACAAAAAAAAACGGCTTTTTTCAACACATATGATCTCTGTGTTTTTTTTTTTGAAATGGTTGAATTGGAATTTTCCCTTTCTCTTTCTCTCTCGACAACAAATCGAACAAATAATGACAAAAAAAAACAAAATCCAACCAAAAACATGAAAAAAGGGGAAAAGAAATGAAAAAAAAACATCAACTACATCATTCTCATCATCAACATCATCATCATTGGCGACAACAACAGCCACTAAGAAGTAAATTAGATTTGACACAGTAGGATATCTTTAAGAGAGAGAGAGAGAGTAAAAGAGAGAGAGAGAGAAAGGAAGAAAATAGATTTAAGACTCGATGAGAAAACAAAAAACAAATCTACATTCATTCATCTCTCTCTTTTTTCCGTTTTTCTTCATATTATCCATATACACGACAAATGAAAAAAAAAATTCTTGTGATCACTTGGCCATCATTTTGTCTTGTCTTGTTTTTTTTTCTATAGTCAAAATCATGTCAAATTTTTTTTGTTTGTCGTTTGTTTTTGTTTTGTTTTTTGTTTTATTTTCATTGATAAAGAACAAAAATCACTACAATTCGAATGATGGCGTTAACCATGGCTTGATGCTTTAGCGCTTTCAATAATAATTCTTATTATTCATTGAATGAAATGAATTCTTCGTCTTTTGTTTTTTTTTTTTTTGTTCACATTCAATTCTAACCGGATGGATGAACGTCGATCATCATGTCGACATAATCATTATATTGTTACTTAAAAACAAAACGGAACGAACGAAGAAAAAAAATAGATTCTCAACTAAAAATCTAATTGTCTATGGATTCTTTCATTATTATTTAGTGAATGTGAATGAATTGAGTGAGCGATTCTGTGAATGGGGGTGGGGGTGGTCGCTAAGCTAAACTTCTATTATTCAATTATTTCTCTTGTATATCTCTATATATGGAACAAAAAGCAAGAGTTTGATGGACAAAATCTTTGACGAAATTCTGTCTAATCATGCATGTGTGTGTGTGTGTGTGTGTGTGTGTTGTGTTTAGAATGATTCATTTGTTCATCATCATCATCGTTATTATTGTTCTTTTTTTCTTTGGTGTTATTGGTCGAACAAGAGATTTACGAATGAAAAGCAAAATAATAATAAAAAAAAATCAACTAAGCCGACTGCTGCTGCTGATGTTGCTGCTGTCAAGTTTTTTTATTATTATTATGGAACAATAGACATTGATCCATGATGATAATGGACGAATCAAAAAAAAAAAACAAAAAGAGAGAGAGAAATCCAAAAGATGGCTAAATGATTCGGCCAAAAAGATTTGGTTTTATTCTGTTAGCTAAAAAATAAAAAAAGACTCATACTGAGATAAGTATTGGTGAAATTGGTTATGGAAAACAAAAAAGAAAATGAGCCTAATTTAGAAATCTCGTCCAAAAATCTCATGGTTTTTATCATTATTTTTTTTCTTTGTCTGGACTTTGGCCATCTCCAATGGGCATCTCCAGCCGGCTGATTTTTTTTTTTCTATCCATTCGTAATTATCCAATTATAGTCAATTCAGTGTTTATCAATGAACTTGATTATCAGAATGAAAAAAATGATGATGATGATGATGATGATCAGGAATGGCAAAAGAAGAGATTGAAATTGGTAAATATTGGAAAAAAAAGTGTCAATCATTCATTTCCAAATTCATTTTGTTATTATAATAATGATGATTTTGATGATGATGAAAAAATCCTTGAATTTATATGTGAGAGATCATCATATATATTGAAATTATTATGATATGATATGATCACTATCGATGATGATGATGACTATTTTTTTTTCTTTTCTTTGCTTCATTCATTTCATTTTGACAACAATTTTTTTTCTGGATCATCTTGGAATGAAATCGATTTGAAAATTGATTCGAAAAAAACGTATGCTGCCAATGAGTAAAGAAAAAACTTGATTGGCCGTACAATTTGAAATCCAAAAAAAATGTTGGCATATCATTTAAAGTATTTGTGTGCCAGGCTATACTTATGATTGGCATTCGATAACATTTTTTTTGGGGACTGGGGATGATGGTGGTGCGATAAACATAAGTTCAAACATTCTTTCTTACTTACTAGTGAGTAAATGGCCGATATTTATTTCGATTAAGTTCGATTACCGATCTTAATAAGCAAGTATATTGTCGTCATCGTCATCATCATCATGTATTGATCATGATCATTGTAACAAAAGTCCTAAAATGAAAAAAAAAAAAATCAATTATTAAATTTGTTATTATCATCATCATTATCATTAAATTCGATACTTAACTATGATGATGATGATGATGATAATACTTTGTGCACAATAAAGATCGATTATATTATTATTGAATCACATAATATTGGAAATCATTTGTTTGATTGTAAAGAATCGTATCGATTTTTTTTCTCGCCTCTCACATATACGTATGATGATGGATGAAAGAAAGAAAAAAAAACTTTTTCTATTTCCACATACACGCATACACACTGCACAAACATTCGAACATTCTTTTCAACAAACAAAAATGTTTCAGGTTGACCATGGACGAAAAAAAAACTTTAACAATATTGTATTCACACACACACACACACACACATATTATGAAATTCTTGTGATAGAATCAAAGAATCAAAGAATCGAAAAAAGAAAGAAAGAAATGTGTTTCATACATACACACACACAATAGTCACATTTGATTCACAATAGGCACTAATTTGATTTTTCACATTTGATGTGAGTGGCTGAACCAAGTTATTGTTTGGTAAGTTTTTTTTTATTGTGTTATATAAGTTTTGTTGTTGTTGTTGTTGTTTTGCACAATTCAAGATTTTGAATTTCTATAAGAGTTTTTTTTTCTTTTTTTTTTTTTGTATACATACATAAAAGTTGCAATTGATAATAATAATTGAAAATAAATTGATTGCCAAATGTAAAGAAATATGGATAGCCTACAAATTTGATTCGAATTTATCAAATCAATCAAATCAAATCAGAATTTTTTTTTCTCCATCCAAATATAAATCAATGATGTTTATACCATCAACCATCATTCATTCATTTCCATAGATTCTGTAGAATATTCATTCAACCATTGTAAATACTAATGATTTTTTTTCTGTTCTTCTTTATATTGACTTTAGATATATGTCCAAAATTCGATCAAAGTTCAATCAATGATCATTTAGATATATATACCATGAACGGATCAACCTATAATCTATAAATGAAGCCTATAATAATGATAATAATCATAAAATGAAAGAGATTTTTCTTTTTTTTTCTGTTCATCATATTCGTTTTACATTATTTCATGTGTGTGTGTGTGTTTTTAAATCGCGATTCAAATGGTTCGATTTTTTTTTTTTTTTGTATTCCCTTTTCGACCCAGTTTGTTATTCATGTGTATGGTGTGTATATATAGCCACATTATTTGAAGATATTATCAACCAAACAATCATGATCATCATCAATTGTTAATAATAGATTGACTATGATGATTGAATGTGTGTATACAAATTGATTCATATATGGAAAAAAAGGGAAATGAAGAAAAAAAAATGGTATTTAGAATCATGATCATCGTCATTGTCATTGTCATTGTTGTTGTTGTTGTTGTTGTTGTTGTCGTTGTAATAGTGATCATTGTCTTTTGATCACTTTTTCTTTCACTTCAGAGATCATTTTTTACAGAAAAAAAATTCACATTTTTATTTGCCCCTCGTTTGTATTCATACATACACAACAACAACAATAAAAACGAGAATTTTTTTTTGTTACTGTCCCTCCTCCCCACGGCCATTGAATCGAATATTATTCCAATTCAATTCATTCGATTCGATTCGATTCATGGTTCCTGAAACCAAAACGAAATGAAATGAAATGAAATGAAAAAAAAATTCGAATCATAATATCATATAATATGAATACAGTTTACAGTTTTATTATTCTTCTTCTTCATTTCCCAGTGTTACCATATCATACATGAATCGAAAATTGAATAAAGTCAATTTCAGTGTTTAACTTTCATCCATTTCAATTGAATTGAATTGAATTCCATTGAATTCAATTCATCTTTGTGTGTGTGTGTATAAAGAAAATGATCGCCAATCGACCAATCATTTATTAGAATGGTTTCTTGCTTGTTTGATTGGACTACACAACTATGATGATGATGACGAAGAATCATTCTATTCTTTTCTTTTTCATCATTATCATCATTGTACGATAACAGGAGAGAAAAAAAATTGTCATTTTTTTT